GCCCCTCTCAGGGAGGGATTGGCAGAGTCCCAGCGGAAGGCAGGGAGCTGCACCCCTCAGTCACCTTTGGGACGCCGTCAGGGGCCCTGAAGGGGGGTGGGGGGAGGGGCAGAGGTAGAGGCCCCAGGCACACCAGAGGGAGCAGAGGATTTAGCTGAGGCAGCCGGGCCGTCTAGCTCAGCCTGGCCTGCAGGTGAGGAGGAGGCTGGGAGTGGTGCAGTGGCCCTCAGGGGCCACGTTCTTGGACGTGGGGGTGGGCTGGACTGGGAGTCTCAGGCGGTGTTCGGAGCTGCGTGCCCGCCGACTCCCGCCTCGGTCTCCTCCTCTGTGACTCGGGAACACTGACCACTTCCCCACTAGCCTCCTGTGAGCAAGGCCAGGAGAGGACAGAGGACAGTGTGAGTGGCAGGGAGCTGCTGGGAAAGGGGGGGCCGGCTGGGGGGTTCTCTGAGGCCTCCTGCCACCCGTGAGGCCTCCTCAGGAAAGGCTGGAGCGGGCAGCAGACTGCCGGCCCCTGCCCCCCCACCCTGCAACCTGCTCCATTCCCTGCGCCACCCCCATCCAGCTCTGGAACATTCCCCATTTCAGGAAAGTAACCAGAACAGCCCTGCCCCCGCTGTGTCGCGGGGGGGGGGGGGGGGGCAGGCAGCTGCCAGCCCCTTCTGCCTCCAGCCTCTGGCTGGCCCAGACAGGAAGTCCAGCAGGCCCAGCGCCATGCCCAGGGCTCACCTGCACCCCTCCATGGGCACCAACCCCAGTGGACTCCGGGGAATGGCCTGTGAGGCCCTGGGGCCCAGCTCCGAGTCCAGGCCCTGCTAAGTGTTCTCCCTGCCCTCACTCGGTCTCCCCAGCAGCCCCGAGAGCCGGGCGTGCGGTTTGGCTGGACTGACGAGAAGGCTCCGGTGGAGAGGGGTGCAGCTTGCCTGTGGCTTCGGGCTGCTAAGTGGCGGCAGACTCCAGCCCAGCAGGCAGGCTCAGGGACCCCCCCCCCCCGACTCTCCTCCCACCGCTGCACAGCCCTCAGCCCCTGGACTCTGGGTGCAGGGAGTGCGCCCATGCCGGGGTGGTGGGGGTGGGACGGGAGCCGCCCGAGGTCTCCAGGTCTGGGGGGGCTGGCAGGAGCTGCCCCGAGCCTGGAGGGCACGGAGGCCCAGGCCAGCCCTGCCACGACATTCTGAGCAGGGGTGTCCCCACCCTACCCGGCGCCTCGGCTCCCGTCCAGACTCACGCACCCTGTGCCCCCGTTCTGTGCCCGCCCCTGGGAATGCAGCCTGTCACTGCGGGGCGGCTGCTCAGGTTTGGGGCACCGTTTTTACTCCTTTTGACCCAACTCTGTCCCAAGACCTAGAGGGAGACCTCAAGTGCCACCTCCCATTCGTGAGGACGCGGCCCCTCAGAGGACGCTTCCGGGCACACCAGGAAAGGGCACCCTGAAAGGCGGCCCTTGGGGTGGTGGGGAGCGCTTTTCTGGGAAAAGTTACCCAGTCACAAAAGGAACTGGAGTCTTTCCCCTTTCTGGAAATCTGGGTTTGGACAAGGGCCTCGGTGCTGGCAAGGGCTGTCCGGCAGGGAGGGCGGCGAGGGCTTACGGGAAGGCTGACCCACTTGGTTCTATTTCTGTGACCACTACACAGCCAGCTGACCCCGGCTGTCTGTCCGTCTGTCCGTCCATCTGCTCCGCCATCCCTGCCTGCTGCCTCTGGGGCTGCTCCAGCCTGCTGTCTGTCCGTCTGACGCTCTGCTCTCCTTTAGGACGCCTTCCACGCCTTCCACCAGGACCTCAATTTTGTGCGCAAATTCCTGCAGCCCCTGCTGATTGGGGAGCTGGCCCCCGAGGAGCCCAGCCAGGATGGATCCCAGAATGTGAGCAGGGCCGAGAGGAGGCTTAGCCCAGCGGGCAGCTTGGGGGCAGGGACGGCCGAGCAGCTCCCTCTGCATCAGCCCGCGGGGACAGGGTGGGAGCGAGCCAAGGTGGGCTGTCCCTCCCTGGGCATGGGCGACAGGGACGCCTTCTGGACGCCCCAGATTCAGCATCTGATGGGGAGCCCCGGCATACCCCTTTCCTGCTCTAAGCCCAGCGCCTCCATGGAAGTGAGGGCTTTGATGGGCTGTGTTCTTAAGGCACCCCCCGTCTGGCTCTCCCTGCTGCCGGTCCCCCACACCTTCTGCAGGGGAGCCTTTGCCACCAGCCAGCTCCCCGCTCACCTGGGCTTGGTGTTCTCGCCCCTCCTTCCTCTCCAGCCACACTCTGGGCCTGGCTGGGAGGAGTGACTGAGGCATGGGAGCCGCTAGGCTCGGCCTCGGCTGACTGGCCCCGCTCCCCGCGGCAGGCCCAGCTGATCGAGGACTTCCGAGCTCTTCGCCAGGCAGCCGAGGACATGAAGCTGTTTGAGGCGGAGCCTTCCTTCTTCGCGCTGCTGCTGGGCCACATCCTGGCCATGGAGGCACTGGCCTGGCTCGCCATCTACCTCCTCGGCCCCGGCTGGGTGCCCAGCACCCTCGCTGCCCTGGTCCTGGCCATCTCCCAGGTGAGTTCAGCCCTGCTTGCAGCCATCTGGACTGCAGAGGGCCCCGGGCTGGGCCCCAGCACGCCAGGAGACACTGGACGTTGACCGAACGAAGGAGTGAGCGCCGTGAGCCGGGGGTGTATCTGAAGGTTGAGCTGCACTTTCGCGGGGCCCAGGAAGCTCCTTACTCACTAAAGCCTGAATGAGCACAACATGGAGCTGTAGGCCGCTGTGGGTACCCCTCAGTGGCAGGCATGGGGACCCGAGCTCCCCACCCCTCTGCATATGTTTCCTTACCCGGCAGAGAGGCGCTGGCCCAACAGGTGGTATACAGGCCCGCCCTGCACTCCAGGGGGGCTCGCTGGGGCGCCAGAGCTGGTCCCTCCTGCCAGGGAACTGACCCGCCTTTCTCCCAGGCTCAGTGCTGGTGTCTGCAGCACGACCTGGGCCACGCCTCGGTCTTCAGGAAGTCCCGGTGGAACCACGTGGCCCAGCAGTTTGTGATGGGGCAGCTGAAGGTGACAGCGGAGGGGAGACGCTGGGGGAGGGACCGGGGTGAGCGGCCAGGAGCCAGGCTGGGGGTGCGGGAGCAGCGCACACCGCCTGGCCCAGCCCTGAGAGGGCCCTCCCACCCCGCAGGGCTTCTCTGCCCACTGGTGGAACTTCCGCCACTTCCAGCACCACGCCAAGCCCAACATCTTCCACAAGGACCCCGACGTGACCGTGGCGCCGGTCTTCCTGCTGGGGGAGTCGTCCATCGAGGTGGGTGGGGAGGACCTGCCAAGCCTGGTTTTGTCCCGCAGCCGTGGGGGTGACTGGTCATCATGTCCCCGCCCCACTGTGGCTCCCCCAACCCCTGACCGAGCCCTGACTCCAGCTCCAGGCTGAGCCCTGCCCCAGGGGTGACGGGACAGCTCTCAGCCTTCCACGCCATGTGGGTGACGGCCCAGATGCTGGAAACCTGCACTGCCCGGCTTGGCCAGCCCCGGCCGGCCTGGCGGAGGAGGGCTCGGAGGAGAGCCGCCCTCCCCAGGGACTGCTGTCCCCGCCTGTCTCCGCAGTACGGCAAGAAGAAGCGCAGATACCTGCCCTACAACCACCAGCACCTGTACTTCTTCCTGAGTGAGTGTTCCTGTGCCCGGGGGGCAGGGGCACGCTGGGGCAACCCTGATGGCTCCCAGCCCCCTCCTGGGGAAGGGGCAAGTTTGCCAACCCAACGGCCCTCTGCCTGGTGTCTCCAAGCCCCTTCCCACCTGGGGCTCTCCCAGCACCAGCCTCAGGCCTGAGCCAGTCACAGCTCTGCCCAGAGCTTGCCAACCAAACGCCTTCGTGCTGTCCAGAGCCCTGGAGCATCCGGGCAATTGCTGGGGTGCAAAGAGTGAGGATTCAGGGGTGGGGACGCATAAGGCCCCCATCTGCAGAAGAAGGGGCATGGCCAGCCTGCAGAGGCCTGGACACCAAGGGGATGAGAGCGGACCAGGCCTGTGGGTCCTCCGCTGGACGGAACCAGCACCAGGTGCTGTTGGTATTCCCAGAGGAAGTGGCCCAGCCCCCAACTCCACTGCCCAGCCTGCCCGGCAGGCCACCGACTCCTGAGCCCACTCCACCCCCTCCCTCTCCGCAGTCGGCCCGCCGCTGCTAACCCTGGTGAACTTCGAGGTGGAAAACCTGGCGTACATGCTGGTGTGCATGCAGTGGACGGTGAGCGCCCCTCGTGGCCCTGGGTGGGCAGCCGTGGGGGCGGGGGGCAGTCCGCAAGCACACAGGGCACACATGCGTGTGATTGTGTGCGCGGGGCTGCATGTGCGGGCGAGGGGGGCACTCGGGCCG